GGGGCAGTGAGTAAGTTTTATTTAAATTTAACTGAAAACCAGAGCCAGAGGGTTTTGTTTGTTGGTTGTTGGGTTTTTTTCTATCACAGATAATCTTATTAAGTGTTTAAATTTCCTAGGAAAGAACTATGCCATTTATTTTAAGTTGTAATTGGAACAGCAGGACGTTTCAATTCAACTGCAGCTTTTGCTTCTCTCTTTTTGATAGCTTTAGCCTTCTCTAGGTCATCCTATAACTTGTTAACTTTGCATGAGTTTGTATAAAAGAATGACGGAATAAAGCTACTATTAAGGCTTATATGGTAACTGCAGTTTATTGAAGAAATGGCCTTGAGAAGTTGGTGTGTGAAATCAGGGTTAGGAGAAAAGTCTTGCTGATTACAGCAGTGATGTACCCATAGGTTCTGTACTGACTCATGGTTTCCTGTGATCGTGTTTGTGAGCCTAGTGTGAATGGAGTTACTACAGAGATGTTCTTACACAGGAATTAGATTATTGCTATTAGTGCAGTGGCACAGTTATTTTCTGCTGGAAGTGGACCAAAATAAAACCCCTCGCATTGGAACAAGATTGCTATGAGATACACTTAGCTGGTGTTAGACCTAATGTTTGTCTGTAGTACAGTACCAGATAAAATGCTAGTACTGAACACTTGGTTTGTGAAGATGCTGGCTTAGAACTATTGTAGTAGTATCTCAAGCAGTCTGTTTTAATTAGTTGAATATATTCTGCTTAGCTTTCAGTTCCCCATGAGTAAATTACAGCATGAAAAAGGCATGTTGGTTTGCTTTTAGTACAGCCCTGTTGCAAGATACATATATTGCCCATCATGCTATTGTCAACAGCTAGTAAAAATTTCTCATTTAAGATTATTCTGATTTAGAGTGTTGATTTGATCAGCAAGGCAGCAGACTTCTCTGAATTGAATTGTACTCGTCATGTGTTCTTCCTACCCTACCAGAATATAAACCTTCGTTGTACCAGATACAATAAAAGAGCAAGGGGTGAATAATTGCTGTGCTATTGACAGTTCAGGATATATCCGTTGAATAATTTCCATATTCATTATTTTGTAAGAATTGAGTATTATTTTGTAAATATTTCTAGTATACTTGGTGGGGTGAAAAAAAAGTGTTACTAATAAAATTATCAGCAAATTAACTTGTGTGTTTTAAGTGCTCTTGTGTACTCTATGGGCTTTCATAATTCTACTCTATTTTATGCATATTAAAAAGGTTAGGGAAAAATAGCATGCATAATTTTAAAGGAGTGGCCAATTACAAGTGAAAAGCTTTCGCCTGTATCTGTTGCTATAGTAACCAGGCAGCTTTCCTGGGGTCCAAATAAAACAGTGTCTATAATGGAACAAATGCTGAGAAGTGCTGTGTTTTGTTTCAGAAGCAGAAATTATTGCTCACTGGCCTTGAGATTGCAGATTGAGCTGTTTTTCTCTTAAGCTATACACTGCATCTAGATTGTGGGGTTTTTTCTTTTCCTTCAGAAGTTTTTGTTAAAGATGCAACTCCAACTCCCAAAAGAGCCCTCCTATCTCACTTAAAAGCAGTTCTGCAAAACTGAGGTGACCAGGAGATCCCAAGTGGCATCTGGTGGTTGTCTTATCCCTAATTTTGTGGGGGAAATACTTTGTTTTATTTCTTGACAAAAAGGTAGATACATACACATGTGTAAATAAGCCTTAGTGTTTCTGTTGAAGGAGCTGGTTGGTAATGTGAAGTATGTATTTGCCCTGTTCAAAAGGATAAACTTTTCTGACACTCAGTATGAACACAAGTTTTTGCTCTGTTCCTGTGGTCTTCCTGACAGGTAGCAGCAACCTGTGGCAAAGGCAGAAGCTATCGACACTTGAGAAATTCAGAAACTGCTTTGGAAAGTACATTTATGTGCATTTCACTGCAGTTTCCATATGTCAAGTTTTCTTTGTCACCTCATTTTTAAATAATTTCTTGTGTCTTTACATTTTAGTAATTTAAGTATTTTTTCTGTCTTATTCTTAACTCCAGCTTTCAGAAGAGGTGGAAAAGTAGAGAAAAACCACGATCTGTAACATATACTTGAGATCAGCAGTGCTAATACTGGAAACTTGCTGTGTTTTTTTTCATCAGCACTGTTAATCAGTGTTTTCTTTCTCTAGCCAGTATTTTCGTTCAGCTTCATAAGTTCTACATGACAAACTTAGGTTGTTTGAATTTCATAATTTCTGTTGAATGCAGATGTAGTACCTCTGCTGCTGAAGCAGTTATACTGGGTATAGATGTACTTGACAGCTGAGCTGTTCCCACTGGAAGTACAACATGGATGGATGGCATATTTGTGCCAGAATAATATATCCACATCAGAGGTTACTAAGATTTAATTGATTTTAAAAAAACCCACAAACTTAGAGCAGTTTTGATTAAAGCAGTAGAAAAAACCCTCTCTATTTTTGAAGTAGTCTTTTGCTATGGGTTTTCTCAAACGGTTGGTACAGAGAGTGTGCTTAGAACAGAAGCAGTTCTTTGGCCTGAGTGTATCTTTTATTTCAGCCAGAACTAGCACATCTCCAATTTAATGTCATATAGAATCTGTTCTATGAATGACACTACTGACTTCCAGACCTTTTTAAAAGATGGATGATAGTCTTTCTAAAAAAGCAGACTTTTTTAATAAGAGACTGGATATTTTTAAAAGTCTGGCACATAAAAGTTTTGTAGTTGTTTTCAGTACCAGTACTTGTACAAATTGTACAGATTTTCAATGTGTTCTTCCACAGAAATTTTTCATTTCTATTGGTGTTAATATCTAGCTTGGAAGATGAACTGCTTTATTCAATGTTGTACAGAACTGGATTTTTAGTCCAGTCTGTATTTTTTAATACAGGATTCTGAATTCAGACATTTCTGTATAATACAGTTTCTCTATAATTGGATAACATGTTTTGTGTTTTCTATATGTATATGTGTGTACATCAGAAGGAGGATATTACTCTATTTTCAGACGCAAGGAAAGTGACCGCTCTGTGAAACAAGCCGATTTTAGAACTGTAAAGAAATAAAACAAGCTTGAAAAAAACCTTTATAGAATAATTCAGATATAACTTTGGATGAAGGGTGATACAATGCAAATACAGAGTTGTATGGTCACTTAAATGAAAATTATTTCTTCCTACCATTCCTTGAAATAGACTAGAATTAAAAAATTGTAATGTGTTGAAAAGTAATTCCTTGGCTTACATTTTAGAAAAGCCCTAGAGCAACAGAAAACATATAGGGAATGGGTTTGATTTCTAATTATAATACCAATTTTCTCCAGCTGCCCTTCAGCCTGTATATCAAATATTGTCTAATTTGTGTATCATGTCAGAATTGTCTTGTGGAAGGATCTGAAGAAAGAAGTGCTAATTACTTTACAGATTACATGGAAGTTGTTCTAGATGGAGGAAGCGCCATGGGGGAAAAAGTACTAAGTACTAATGGCATGTGAACTAATTGGAAATATGTAGATAACTAAGACTAAATTTCTGTAGGGCCCTGAAAGTTAAGCTAAATCTTTATATTCAAATACTATGACATTAGTCACTGCACAGCTCTGTTATCTGTCACAATAATGTCTTTCTATATTCTGCCTGTTTCTTAATGTCTAGACAGCTGACTTAGAGATAATATGTCTCAGAGGAATATATCTACTCAAATTTATCTTTCTTTTCCATATAGGTGGATGTGGCGGTGGTACATTTCACTCCATTGGTTCAACCAAAGATACAGCAGCCATTCAAGCTAGTAGAAAAAGTGGTTCGAAGTGTTTTTCAGTTTAGAAGAAAATACTGCTTCCGTGGAATTGAGTAAGGATCTTTAATGAAGATAATCATAGAATCGTCTAGGTTGGAAAAGACCTTGAAGATCATCCAGTCCAACCATTAACCTAACACTGACAGTTCCCAACTACACCGTATCCCTCAGCGTAATGTAAACCCGACTCTTGTACACCTTCAGGGATGGGGACTCCTCCTGTGCAGCCCATTCCAACACCTAACAACCCGTTCTGTAAAAAAATGCTTCTTAATATCCATTCTAAACCTTCCCTGGCACAACTTGAGGCCATTCCCTCTTGTTCTGTCACCACTGGGTTAAAGAGACTCATCCCCAGCAATCTGCAGCCTCCTTTCAGGTAGCTGTAGAGGGTGATGAGGTCTCCCCTCAGCCTCCTCTTCTCCAGACTAAACAACCCCAGTTCCATCAGCTGCTCCTCGTACGAGCTGTGCTCCAGACCCTGCACCAGCTTTGTTGCCCTTCTCTGGACACGCTCGAGTCATTCCATGTCCTTTTTGTAGTGAGGGGCCCAAAACTGAACACAGGAATCGAGGGGCGGCCTCACCGGTGCCGAGTCCAGGGGTCAGATCCCTTCCCTGTCCCTGCTGGCCACGCTATTGCTGACACAAGCCAGGATGCCATTGGCCTTCTTGGCTACCTGGGCACACTGCTGGCTCCTGTTCAGCCGGCTGTCAATCACGCCCCCAGGTCCCTCTCTGACTGGCAGCTCTCCAGCCACTCCTCCCCAAGCCTGTAGCGCTGCTGGGGGTTGTTGTGGCCCAAGGGCAGCCCTCAGCATTTGGTCTTACTGAAACTCCTGCAGTTGGCCTCAGCCCATGGCTCCAGCCTGTCCAGGTCTCTCTGCAGAGCCTCCCTGCCCTCGAGCAGATCAACACTCCCACCCAAGTTGGTGTCATCTGCAAACTGACTGAGGGTGTACTCGATCCCCTCATCTAGATCATCAATAAAGATGTTAAACAGGAGTGGCCCCAACAGTGAGCCCTGGGGCCACCACTTGTGTCTGGCTGCCAACCAGGTTTAACTCCATTCACCACAATTCTTTGGGCTTTGCCATCCAGCCAGTTTTTTACCCAG